TGCCGCCTGCTTTGACCTTTGACTGGACAATGACCGCTCTCTTGCCACATGCCCTGGTCTCAGCCTGGATACTGACCACTCTCTTGCCTGCCTAAAATTTTGCCTTGATACGATCTATACTCTAGCCTTCCACCAGCCCCGACCTTTGCTCATACTCTGACCTCCTGTAACTTCATAGCCTGGTGATATCTCACAGCAAAGTAGTCTGGGTGCCATGAGAATCACCAGCCCATAACTTGCAGGTTGCTATGGTGAAGAGCAAGCTGTTGCATAAACTTCAGGCCTTGGTTGAGCCCGCGTTATCTGCCAGGGGTATCCATCTTAAAACAGACATAAAAATATTTCTATGACCTATGATCAAAGCCTCTTTTGGCTGACACACATTAGTGGGACTGCTATGTCTAGTTTTATGCCAAATGACAAAGAGCTGATAGAAGTCTTGTACGTACACCGTTGGTCGAAAGGAATGCACTGGAGGAAGGTAGAGCGCTTTCTGCTCGTCTTGTGAGCCTATGAAAATATTGCCACTTAGCACCTGTTACATTGTTACCCTTTGTGGAGAGTTTAAAAGAGAACTAAAGCAAAATCTTTTTTTGGCTTTAATTCTCTTTTGTGTCACACTAATGTACTCCTGTGATCTAAACTTAGCATCTAGTGGGCTACTGCAGGCTATATGCTGACAGTGCAGAGCTGCACTGCAGCTGGGAAGTACCCCAACAATATTGTCAGGATCCACCCTGCTGCTTGACTCTGCCTCTCTACAGCCAGAGCCAGCTGTGCCCACTTTCTCTCCTGTCTGTCCCCCCAATAACCGCTGGAGAAACAGAGAGGTGGTGGGGGAAGAGGCGGGATCCCTGTGGGGAGTGGTGATTGACAGTCACCGACCTCTCCATTGAGAAGACCGCGAGCTGAGCGATCAGCGGTTTGTGATCTCTCGATTCTCGATCTATGAGTGTCCCCCACCTGTAGTGTCCCACGCCGGCTCAAACTATTGGGATGAGTCCATTTTACTTTCCCAATACTTCTCCTTTAATACCTGTTCTAATATACACTGCCTGGCAAAAAGAAAAAGTCACAAACTCTAATATTACGTTGGACCACTTTTTTTTTTTTTTATTACTGCATGCATTCACCGTGGCATCATTTCCATAAGCGTATGCAACGTCACAGCATTTATTTCCATCCAGAGTTGCATTCATTTTTCACCAAGATCTTGTAGTGATGATAGGAGAGTCGGTACCACTGCGTAAAGTCTTCTCCAGAACATCCCAAAGATTCTCAATGGGGTTAGGGACTGGACTCTGTAGTGGCCAATCCATGTGTGACAATGATGTCTCATGCTCCCCGAACCACTCGTTCACATTCTGAGCCCGATGAATCCTGACATTGTCATCCTGGAATATGCTCAATGTGCCATCACGGAAAAAAAATTCCATTGATGGAAAAACCTGACCATTCACTATATCCAGGTAGGCAGCGGACTTCATTTTTTGGGCACATACGTAGCTGAACCTAGACTTTTTATCCAATGGAAGGCTCTGACCTATTTGCTTAGTTGAATCGAGCTGGTGACTTTTTTTTGGGCCAGGCAGTGTAGATTTGTGTGTCTCTCCATTGAAGTTTGATCTCACGTTAAGCCCTGATGAAGAAGGATTAGAGTTGCCCGCAAAACACCATATTGATCTAGTCATCAACGATTAAAATGACCCTGGACTCTTTCATCTGTTGTTGGTCTGTTGCTCCTTCCTGTAATTCTATGGTTTACAATGAAGGTCCTGAAATGCTCACCAGAATCCCAGTTTGACTGTAATCTAAGGTGTATGGACTGGCTCGCTTTCGATGATTGGCTTACGAGGTTTTGCTGCTGTATTTTCCTCTTGTGGGAGGTGAAAGCTATTTTGATGGGGCTGGTGGGCTGTTTGACAACATATTTTTGCTGCGTTTAGAAACGCCTACAAATCTGTATAATGAAGGAATAAACACAACAAAAAGGAAAACAGGCTCATCCTAACTTCCAGAAGTAGATCCGATTACGGCAACCCCAATCCCTGACTGCAGGCCCCGGCATTCAGGTGCCCTTGAGCACCTCAGAGAACACAAACGTTGGGGACTCATGCAGGGCTTAAGTGCATTTTACACACATTTTGTCCCGCTGATTTTTCATTTGCATTAAAAAAAAAGAACAACACTTTTTTTAAGGAGTGGTGATATATCACTATTAGAGTGCTGAAGACTGATCATGAACCAACTTACCGTCAACCATGCAAAACTCAAATCAGCTGCAGGTGGAATTGACCTTTAAGTGAATGCTCAGTTTGATTTTATTGTTTTAACATTTACAAGTTTATACAATAATGTTTTTATTAGGGATGCACCAAATATAGTTTTTTCGGTATCGAGTACGGATATTTTATTTGATACCAAATACCAATACTGGAAGTCCAATTAAGGAAGCCGGGTGGCATGAAATGACTCGCCGGCCGGCTTCTCGATTAGCCTGGAAGCCGTCTTCATGTTCCCTTGCTGCCACCAATTGAGGAGGAAGCATGGAGCTGGCTTTCTGGCCAATCAGGAACCTGAGGGGTGGGTAAAGATTCGCCACCTGGCTTCCTGATTGGCCACCTTCCCGACCAATCAGGAACCGGGGGGCAAGTCTTTACACGCTGGCTTACTGATTGGCACAATATACAGCAACAATATGTTTTTTTAAGAAAAGCCCCATCTTTTGCTAGAAAAAAATCTCTCTCAGTGACTTTGTGTAGGCTGAGATGATATCATCAGTCTGCTGCAGGCAGGATGAAGCATTTCCTCAGTTTCCTCTCCCCCCAGTGGTTAGACTGACACATTGTAACTTTGCAGCAAGTCACAAGTGGAACTCCAAGAAAATAATTAATTTATTTAACTGAGATTAGTCCAGAGAAGTTATCTGAAATGTTTTGTCGCCTATGTCCAGAGGGTGGCTGGGGATGCTCATTTTATTTCTGTGCAATACAGTCAGACACAAGCTTCCCCCATTTAGACTAATGGCTAGTTTTGGCTAATGAATAAAAAAGTCGAATCGCTCTCCTCCTTCCTTTCTCATCGATTCACAAAAAGCCATGTAGTCTTATCACTGAATACAAGGTATCCTGTGAATGGATGAGGGAAGGGACGAGGTGGATACACCCTGAGATCTCCTCTTGTCCATTCACAGGACACCTTGTTGATGAGGAAGAGAGCGAGTGACTCTTCACTGTATTATAGCTGGAACTATCTGAGTGGCAGAAGCGCATGGTTGACAATAGTATCATGCCAGAATAAAACTAACATTTTTAGCACCCCCAGCCGCCCTTCGGATGTAGTTGACAACGCATTACACATAACTTGCCTGGATCAAATCACAATTAAATCACAAAAAAAGGAGTTTTTTTCCCCCCGAAGTACCACTGTAGGTCAAAAACTCTAGGGAGTAGAGGTTATCCCGGAAGAAAGGTGGCACCATCCTTTTGGGGAGAAAAGCAGAGTTGTTAACTGTGGCTATGACACCAGGGACGGCAACGCGACCGCCCCCCATCTGAATGCCATCATCCAATCAAACGGAGACGTAAATAGAAAAGCTGCTGCACACATGACCCGGGTCCGCACATGTGCCCAGGCTTGTCTGACCTCAGCAATGGCCGGCTCCGCACATCTCCACTCCGAACCATCGCACGGTTCACTTCCCAGCACCGGATACCGAGTGATTAGCGCGCAAACGACTCTGACCCGAGTCCAATTAGCCGGCAATAAGTTTCCAATTAGTAATAATTATTTCCTAATTTGCTGAGATGCTGGAGAACGGCCAAGAACCATATTGATTCCTTGACTAATGAGCCAATGTTTGTGTTCGCTTCTGTCATCCATTTATTTATTCCTCCGATTATTACCACTCTCTCTCGAACCCACCATAGAAAAATAAAAAGTTAAACCTCTCGCCACAGCCGCTGCCGGCCTTTTACTTTTTTTATTTTCTATTTTTAATGCATTGGATTTTTTTTACAATCAACAGCCATCTACGTGGTGATCAGATGACCAGTACAAATATGGCATCGTCACGCCCGTCTTGTCTAATGTGACAGCAATGTACAGCACCCTGACCCTCCCACGAAGACCAGTGTGTTAAGACCTGTCCCACCCAGGGGGTATGTCTCCTTTAGGTTGGTGCGGAGCAGTCTTTTTCTAATGTGACAGCTACGCACAGCTCCCTGACCCTCCCACAAAGACCAGTGAGTAAAGACCCGTCTCGCCCAGGGGGTATGTCTCCTTTAGGTTGGTGCGGAGCAGTCTTTTTCTAATGTGACAGCTATGTACAGCATCCTGACCCTCCCATGAAGACCAGTGTGTAAAGACTCGTCCCGCCCAGGGGGTATGTCTCCTTTAGGTTGGTGCGGAGCAGTCTTGTCTGATGTGACAGCTATGTACATCACCCTGACCCTTCTACGAAGACCAGTGTGTTAAGACCTGTCCCGCCCAAGGGGTATGTCTCCTTTAGGTTGGTGCGGAGCAGTCTTATCTGATGTGACAGCTATGTACATCACCCTGACCCTCCCATGAAGACCAGTGTGTAAAGACCTGTCCCGCCCAGGGGGTATGTCTCCTTTAGGTTGGTGCAGAGCAGTCTTGTCTGATGTGACCGCTATGTACAGCATCCTGACCCTCCCACGAAGACCAGTGTGTAAAGACCTGTCCCGCCCAGGGGGTATGTCTCCTTTAGGTTGGTGCGGAGTAGTCTTGTCTGATGTGACAAGTATGTACAGCACCCTGACCTTCTCATCAGCCATGATCTGCTGCATTACACAGAGACCCCGTGATGACATCACTGCCTCTAAAATAAGTTATGTACCGAGAACAGAATATGCAGGTCTACCTTTTATAAGCAGAATCCTTTAAAATACAGATGGAACAAAACTCCCCAGACCAGGCCAGTTTGCAGAAAACCTGGAAAAGCACCTACAAGTCAATAACTATGGCCCGGCACTCACCGCTATAGAGACCGCACTGATCACAGCTCCAGTGTATCCCAGGATGAACTTGAATGTTGGAGAAGGCTGAGAAGACAAAAAAGAAAGAGTCAGGAAATTACATCACAAGAGGACACTTTTCACAATAGATGTGAGTTTCCTGTAGACGGAAGAACTGTGGTCACATTATCGGGCCCCATCATCTAATGTTTCTCTTTCTGGTATATGACACAACGTATCATCATTCCAACCAGCTGGTGGTGATTGGATGGGGAAATAAGCATCATGTCTGTTGGAACTCTGTTTTCTCCAGAATGATAAAGGAAAATTATTATTTGGTTGGTTGCGGAGTCATTGACTTCAATGCACCGCCACGCTCCCGTCCGCCCCGAAGGGGGAAGTTTGGTGGGTGAATGCTGTGCGTTCCAGCAGCTACCGATCTGGAACGCACCGCAATTGGTGTGAACAAGCCCCTAAAGTGACACTAAACTCAGGAGTTAAATCTTAAAAATGCATTCAAGTATCTTAACTAATAACAAAAATGTATCTTATTTGTGTATCACTCGGCTGTAGATCCTCCAATCATCTCTGAATTGGTGCTGACACTGTCCTTCCTTCTGGAGGGCGACTACCTTTGTTCCCCATGGTCGCGGTGTGTGTTGTAAAGCAGTCACCGCTCCAAGCTCACCCCTGTGATGGACTACAATCTCATGTTTTCGTTTGCTCATTTGTATTGAGATTGTAGTTCATTGTGGGAGTGAGCTTGGAGCGGTGACTACTTTACAACACACACAGGGACCTTGGGGAACAAAGGTAGCCCCCCTCCAGAAGGAAGGACAGTGTCGGCACCAATTCAGAGATGATTTGATGATCTACAGCCGAGTGACACACAAATAAGGTCCAGTGTTGTTAATAGTTAAAGTACCTGAATATATTTTTAAGGTTTAACTCCAGAGTTTAGTTTCACTTTAAGGGTTCCTTAAAGGTCCATTCTCACCTATATGTTGTGATTAGTTGTGGTTAGATTTAGGCTTAGTAAGATGGGGGTTAGATTAAAAGGTCGTGAGTTAGGTTGAAGTAACATATCAAAGATTTATTTACATAATTTTGGGATTGTTTTTCGAGGTGATATGTTTTTCACATTTAACATTTGTAAATGTTATGGGCACTGAGCGTTCCTGGGCCTTAAAATACTAAAAAAATTGATGGTATTAAAACTAACATACTGTTTTGAAGGAAATGTGTGCAGTACCAAGGCATGGATTTGCCTGGTACACTAGGGAGGAGGATTCTGGGAAGTTTGTCTAAGGAGGGACATCTGTAGCCAGAGCGGGGTGTGGATGAGCACTGCACACCAGTATAAATGGTTCGGTGAGGAGGACACTGGGAGAGAGGTCGTCTATATGGGTATATCTGTATATACAGCAGGGTGTGGATGAGCACTGCACACCAGTATAAATGGTTCGGTGAGGAGGACACTGGGAGAGAGGTCGTCTAGATTGGTCTATCTGTATATACAGCAGGGTGTGAATGAGCACTGCACACCAGTATAAATGGTTTGGTGGGGAGGACACTGGGAGAGAGCTCGTCTAGATGGGTATATCTGTATATACAGCGGGGTGTGAATGAGCACTGCACACCAGTATAAATGGTTTGGTGGGGAGGACACTGGGAGAGAGGTCGTCTAGATGGGTATATCTGTATATACAGCGGGGTGTGGATGAGCACTGCACACTGGTATAAATAGTTTGGTGGGGAGGACACTGGGAGAGAGGTCGTCTAGATCAGTGGTTCTCAACCTGTGTAACCTCAGGACCCACATTTGTCCTTGGTCATTAAGTTGCGACCCAAGTCTGCAATGTCTGCACTGCAATAGAACGCACGGCATTAGGGTACCACGCGTTCCGGTGTGGGCGTACGAACTGTGCGTGGGAGGTGTGTTTGGTGTACCACTCAAATGAATGGCCATGCAACACACCTCCCGCACTGTAGTAGTCTGAACCTGGCCTTTTAACATTTTTTTAAGGTCCACCCAGTCTCTCTACCTAACAAGAACTGGAGTGGATCCGCAGCCTGGGGTCCAGTGTGAGCTGCTGTGCTGTGACGGAGCTCCATCCATATGTGCTTTGCTTGTACAGCTCCCTTGCATGCCCTGTAGAGGAGCCGGGAGCCAGAATGTAATGTCACTCCGGTCCAGGCACCTCTATAGGACACATGAGGAGCTGTCAGCAATGCATGTATGGATGGAGCTCCCTCGCGGCCATAGCCCCAGCCCACCCCACCTCAAGCTGACACTTGGCGCCGGGCAGCATATTTTCAATGGCTGCTTGGTGTGACAATTGAAGGTGCTGCGCTAGGGGGAGGAGCCTGTCACCTAGCGCAGTGGAAGGCATGCGGCGACCCACTGAACATGGGCTCGTGACCCACTTTTGGGTCACGACCCACGAGTTGAGAACCAAGGGTCTAGATGGGTATATCTGTATAAACAGCTGGGTGTGGATGAGCACTGTACACCAGTATAAATGGTTCGGTGAGGAGGACACTGGCAGAGAGGTCGTCTAGATGGGTATATCTGTATATACAGCAGGGTGTGGATGAGCACTGCACACCGGTATAAAAAGGTTCAGTAAAAAAGTCTTCTACAGGGGGATATCTTTCTGTAGAGTAGATGAGCACTGTTCAGTATAAATGGTTCGGTGAGGAGGATTCTGTGAAATAGGTCTTCTTGAGAAGGGATTTCTGCATTTAGAGCAGGGTGTGGATGAGCACTACAGACCAGTATTAATGGCTCAGTGAGGAGAATTCTGGGAAGGAGGTCTTTAGTAGGGGATATGTGTATCTAGAACATGAAATGGATGAGTACTGTACAGCTGTTTGCAGAGGAGATAAGATCTAAAGGGGCCCACACATAATAGAATGGAGGCACGATCTGACCTATTCTGGGAATGGGGTCTTATAAAAGGGGGATATCTATATCTAGAACATGACATAGATGAACCATGCAGAGTTGTTTGTAAAGGACATGAGATCTAGAGGGGCACATATATAAGTAACGAAAAGCATTTTGTTGGGGAGAATTCTGGGAATTTTTTATTAGAAGCTGATATGATATCACCTTCTAAAAAATTCCCAGAATTCTCCCCAACAAACCACTTCTGGTTACTTATGTTTGGGCCCAGGGGCAGACTGGGCCGGGGGGCAGGGTGGCAATTTTTCACACTACTGTTACAAGGATGGCAAAAGTGGCAGACAGGGGCGGGGAGAATGCGGGGAAGAGGCAGAGGGGGAGGGGGGCCTAGTTGCCGCACCATGGGCCTCTGGGTTGTACTTGCCCCCTGGGCTAAAAGTAGCCAGTCAGCCCCTGTTTGGGCCCCTTTAGATATCTAGAACATGACCTAGATGAGTGGTTTGGTGAGGAGGATTCCAGGAATGAGGTGTTTTTGACCAACACATCTATATGACCATGATGTATTTTTATGTGCTACACAATGTTTTGGGCAGGAAGATTCTGAGATGCGCTGGAAAATATCAGTTTAGATGTACTTTACACAGTCAGAAATGGCGTGAAAAGTAGTATTATGAAAATAGATCTTCTTCGGGGCTGAGATGGAGTGTACCTCCTACTCTGTCATTACCAGTCTGGTGAAGAGCATTCTTAGAATGAGAGCTTCTCATTGGCATTACATGTAGAAGCAGGGTGCAGGGTGCAGGTTTGCCATTGTGAGGAGCATTCTTAGAATGAGAGCTTCTCATTGGCATTACATGTAGAAGCAGGGTGCAGGGTGCAGGTTTGCCATTGTGAGGAGCATTCTTAGAATGAGAGCTTCTCATTGGCATTACATGTAGAAGCAGGGTGCAGGGTGCAGGTTTGCCATTGTGAGGAGCATTCTTAGAATGAGAGCTTCTCATTGGCATTACATGTAGAAGCAGGGTGCAGGGTGCAGGTTTGCCATTGTGAGGAGCATTCTTAGAATGAGAGCTTTTCATTGGCATTACATGTAGAAGCAGGGTGCAGGGTTTGCCATTGTGAGGAGCATTCTTAGAATGAGAGCTTCTCATTGGCATTACATGTAGAAGCAGGGTGCAGGGTGCAGGTTTGCCATTGTGAGGAGCATTCTTAGAATGAGAGCTTTTCATTGGCATTACATGTAGAAGCAGGGTGTGGGTTTGCCTTGTAGACATGGAGAGGAGCTTTCTGCCGTTCAAGCCTGCTAGCAGGATATAATTAGTTTAGCAGCATGAGGCCCGAGCACCGCGGTCACAGACAATCAGCGCAATCCTCCGATGCATTCTCACCTTGGTAGCATTGCGATTTGCATAGTTGACACCTGCATTGTGACTTTGATTCAGCCACTGTATAAGAGAAAGAGAGGAGAAGAACGTGTTAATGGAAGAGAGCACCACACAACCTGGGGGATAATCGGCAGAGATCAGAAATGCAACAGTCCGGCTTATTCCTACAAGAACTCCGCTACACGTCTCCAACAAACCACAGGCAAGGAAGGCAGGAGGCCAACTGGAGGACCTGTATGCTAACCACTAAACTCTATTCTAGTTTATCATACTTTATTTTATTCGGATGTGGAGGCTGCACACGTTTTCTTTTAAAGCCATAAACATATCTCCAAATACAGAAAACGACCCGTTATTTATTCAACAATCTCAAACAATGAAACCAGCTTCCCCAGAGATCTTCTGCAAACTACTCAGCTACCTCTTCCTTATGTAATGGAGAGGAGGAGTAGGTGCTAGTAGTCCAAGTTAGGAGAGCAGCCTAGGGTGACAACGCTTCTCCATAGATACAGAACAGTGAGTGAGACAGGATCTGGTAGGGAAAAAGGACCCTAATGCAGCCACCATATCTAAGAACTGGTAAGTAGGGATGAGGTTCAGGTTTTCTGAACCTCATCCCTATGGGTTCTCGGTGATTCCCAAAGATTGCAAATCGAAAGCTTTTGGCCAAAAAGTTTGCAGGTTCACTAACAGAAACATTTTTAGGTTCACTAAATGCAATACACTGCCTTTGCTCTTGGTCAGCTGAGTTATAAAAGCCAACAAGTTGAAGGAATGGATAACCCAACCCCCTTTCTATAATATAAGTAGGGGTGGGAGCAAGTGCTGGACACAAATTGTGGGTAAGAAGTCTTTATATTGGCCCAAACTGGCCATGGTTCGGCAGCTGTCAACAAAGCAGGGGTCATCCTAAACATAGGGGGGTCACCTGGCTTGAAAAGTCTATGGGTCTGATGCATAAATCTTCCACTCGGTATAAAGCTGGGCACATGCCGTTGGCATGGCATTACTGCCACTAGATGGAGCATAACAATTACTTATGTCACTCGGCTACATCTAGTGGCAGTAATGCTGTGTCAATGGCATTTGACCCAGCTATACGCTAGCCGGAAGCCTCTAAGAGATATAAACTATAAGGAGTGCCAAACACACGCATAAAAGGACCATTGGGCTGCCTTGGCAACTGCATCCGAGAAGGGAAAGGCCAGCCAGCAGACTGATACATGCACACTACTCGTGTTTTCAGTCCAAAATATACTGCGATAGTTAGTTGTTAAAGCCCTGATGAAGGGG